TAAATGTTTGTCGCAATAGTTCTTGTATGCGTGAGAACCCTAGTCTAAGCGTCCTGACGGTAGTGCCTTTGACGAATGCATAATCAGTGGAAGTCACCTGCCCGTTGCATCCGGGAGGTGGGCGCCCGAATCCGTGTAGAGCGGAGGGGATTGTCTGAACGCCCAAATTCGTGTAGAGCGGAGGGGTATTTCAACTTCACTGTCTCCTGGTAAGATCCTTTGCCCGTTGCATCCGGGGTGGGAGTGCTTCCAGTTACATCCTCGCCGATATGTGGTCGGGAGGTTTGTTGTATGTATATAGGAGGTTTGCGATAGGGCCTAATAGGGAGTTAGTTCTGGATTCTATGCATACATTATTTATGGTTATGGTTCTTTATGCGAAATATATTGTGCGGTAATGGTGAGTATGATGGTTGTACTCACTCCCATTTACTTTTCTGTCCTCTTGTTCCTCTTCCTATCTTTTAGGTTGAGCATGGTTGGCGGCGGCAGCGAGAGACGATCGAGTGGTGGTAGTTGGATTATGTGTTGCTTGCTTCCGTTTTCTATTATTTTGATAAACCATTTGTCCAACTTTGAATAACTATGTTTTCGTTTTATTTATTTCGAACATATTGGTTAGACTATTGAATTCTGTTGAAGTATTTGCTTATGCATGACTGATTTTGAGGCTTATGGATAATTGGGGTTTAATTTTGAATTGTTAGATTTTATCCGTGTAAGATGTTTATTTGGTTTAAGTAGTTTAAGTAGCGCCCGTTTGATAATAAATTTTTAATTTGGGATTTTGCGAAAAATTAACTCTGATTTTGTATAAATAAATTCGGTAAATTCCTTAAAATAAAACGGGCCGTTACAAAAACACACACATACACGCGCGCGCACACACACACACAGTCTCATCCACCATCTGCCGCCATCCGCCGATGCCACCGGCCAACCTCTGCAACTGCCACCGCTGGCCTCCTCCGCTGCCACCGACAGACCTCCGCCTTAGTCACCGGCCGACCTCCGCCGCCGCCACCGGCAGACGTCCGCCTCAGCCACCTATTTTTATTTTTTTCATGGAACGTCGAGACGACCACGGTGAGGAAGAGTGCATCCGACGTTCTCTAGAGCGGCGATGATGCTCAGTGCGAACTTCCGATTTATTTTTTTTATGTGTTGATTAGTAGTCTGTCGGCCGGTGCCGATTGGAGTAACCAGCACATGATGACGGGCGACGGCCAAGCGTGTGTGCGACGGGAATATGAGGAACTGAATTTTTGTTGCTGGGACCTTTGCTGAAAATTTGATAAATGACAAGGACTCACTTGCAATTTCCATTAATATGTACCATGTAAAGAACTAAATTATAGTTCTTGGTCAAATTTATTATTTAACTAAACTTTAAGAATTTTAAATATATTTCAATTTAGCCTATGGGCCAAATCTGTAATTTATAGAAAATATATAAAAATGTTATTTTTCATATGTTTTCTTTATAAAAATATATATTATATTTTTTTAACCAAAAAATAATATAAGACATAAATAAACATATTAAAATATTGAATATATTTTTATATTCTAAATAATAAATTACTTCAATTATGTAGACCAACCGAATAATCCAATTATCTCGCTTTAGTTAATTTTGGCTTTCCACATAAAATAAATAAAATAAGCTCGAAATGCAAAATGCACATTAGTATAATACGTGATGCATATTATTAATGTCTGTGAGATTGCACACTAGTGTTAGGCACGATGCACATTAATGTGTTCGAAAATGCACGTTAACATACAATTTACATTTTCACAAAATATTACAATTTTGGTTATTGTAGTTTGAGTTCAACTTTATTTACAAAAGAAAAAAAAAAATAGAAGAGTCAACCGAATTATACAAAAAAATAAAATTTTATATTTTATCCATATGTATATATTTCTGCAAACAACAATATAATTATTAACTAAAAAATTATATATACTAAATATAGTTTTATAAAAAAATAGTTACACTCCGAGTGTGCTTCTTTGTTACTCGTATTGCACATTACTGAATGCGGCGTTAGACGAATTGCACCTTAGTGATTGTTAGATTGCACTATAGCGACCGAACCGGACCAAATTATTTTTTTTATAAATAAAAAAATTCCGTTGGAATGAGTTTTCCATTATAATTTCCATTGGATTTTGACGATTCCAACAGTACATTTTCCAACAGTTGAAATATGAGTGAAATAAAAATTCCAACAGAAATTGTATATTCCAAAGGAAATTACTACGGTAAAAAATCGTTGGAATAATGGTTGTTGGAATGATGAAATTCCATCTAAATTGCAATGGAAAACTCTTATTCCAACGGAATAATTCCGTTGAAATTTTTGTTAGAATCATTCCAACGGAAGTTACACCATTGAAATATTCGGTTGAATTTTCATTGGAATATATCATCGTAGGATATTCTGTTGGAATATGGCATTTTATTTTTATTTATTTTTTTAATGCTATATTTGTATTAGCTAATATGTATATGAATACACAATTCACTAATTTATTATATAATATATATATATAAGAGTAAAGATACAAAAATATATTTATTAAAATATAGTATTTTTTTTAATAATTTTATTATTATCATAAGGAAAAAAAATTAACATTAATATAAATATTAAGTTTTTAATATAAAATAGTAATAAATAATAATATAGAATGATATTATCATTTCATTAAGGTCTTATTCCTTCTGCATACCAAACACATCAATAGAAAAACTAGTTTCATTCCTTTCTCATATTCATTCCACTCTTCAACTCATTCCATTCCTATCAAATTTCATTCCATTATACCAATCATGCCATAATATTGATACGTTTTCCTCTTTTCCTCTATGTTGCATTTATATACACAAGTTGGTAACCAAGTTTCACTGTTGAGTGTTCAACAAAAAAAAAATAAAGGACTTTACAATTAATCTTGTAGCTCATCAAAGAGAGAGAAGAAGAAGCTTAAGCTTTGATTGAGCCACCTTAATTATTTACATCATATATTTACTATTATCACAGCCACAGGGCTCCAGCATCCTTAAGCATCCTCCTGAGGGACCCATCTAGGTGAAATGTCAACACGTCTTGGGCCAAGCCCACAAATTTTCCGCCGATAAAAACGGCAGGTATTGGAGGACTTCGCCCGAGGCCCATGACGAGAGCCCGTTCGATCTCCTTCCCATCAACCTGCTCGTCCAGCTCGTACACCACTGGGCTCGACCCATGCTCGTGAAACAGCTTCGTGATTGCATGGCACATGCAGCACGAGCTCTTGCTGAATATCACAATCGGGTTTTGGGAAGCCAATTTTATAACACGCTCCATTTTATATCAACTAGGATGAGTAAAACGTGTGTGTGTGTGTGTTGACTTAAATAGTCAAAAGGAAGAAAATCTGTATATTGAGTTGCTTTTTGGGATGAGGATTTGAGGTAATTGGGTTGACTTGATTTTGTGACCCTTCTGATTTGGTGATATTTATAATGGGGAGGGTGGGGGTTAATTGCAAAATCTAGCCCTTGAGGTTTTGTCTATTCACCGAAAGTACACGGATCTTTTTAAAATTTATAAATAAGGATTTGTATTGATATTTGATATTCCCAATTCAATTGCTTTCTCCTAACCTTTACTAAATGAAAAGTATTGTCCCGCCATATTATTGTTAGATTTATTTTGAATGATTGCAATATGTTATAATGTGATCAAAATATATCTACTTACACATAGTTATAAAAGCAATTCTTTTGGTATGCCGAATTGACTACCCTATTTTGAAAAGATACATCAATTTAGCATACAAGAATTTAACATTAATACACTAATTAGACAAAAGATTCAAAAAATGTACATTTAATCATGATGGGCGGTATAAAAGTCGAATTATTTAAAGCTATCATGGGTTAGATGCATGCCAAAATTTAAACTTTGGATGAAAAATTGGTCTTGCAAAGTAATTTCAATTGCCAATTTTATGTGTACAACCGCTTTGACAAGAAAAATCCAATGGTGGGCCAATCAACTAAAATGGGTGTTAGAGTACGATGAAATTAGGACGGAGATGAAACAATTCAAATTACATTGAACAAAATATTGAGTGAAAAAATTGAGCTTTGATTGGCCCAAAATTTTACGGATGCGACCGCCTCGACAAAATGAATCCAACATAGGGTAACCAAATTAAATCCATCGACAGACGACGCTAAACTAAGTCGGATAAAAACTACGTAAAAATTGTATTCATCCGTCATGATTAGTTACTTTTATGTTATTTGCAAGTTAGCATATTAAGTTTGAAATTTGTGAATTTTTTGTGACTTTTCATGTTAGATGGTAGTAACTTGGCATGCCAAAAATAAAATTTGCGAAAAAACATACGACTAATATATTTAACTCATGCAGTTTTTTAAGTTAGTTGTGTTTCTTAACCAACTTGCTTTATATTTAAGCAAAATCTCAAGGTTAGTTTTGTAATTATCTTTTGTTAAATCAAAGATTGGTAAAAAGATGGTCAAAGTTCCTTGAGATCATCAAGAATATATGCCTAGTATGTAGGGTTCAAGTGAGAGGTCTTGTGATAAAATATAATTTGTTTTAATATTCTTCAGCTTGCTGATGATAAACATGCAAACACTAAATTAAAAGAGTGCACCAAAGATACGCGAACTTGTAAAGATATTAGATCCTAGTCACACAGGTGACTAAGACTTTTTTTTTCTCTCTCTCTCTCAAACATCGAATTTTAATAAAATACTCAAAGGGTAAAGGTTCAATAACCAACAGACTGCAACCAGTGCCCTTCTGAGCACAACCTCGAAAGGGACCGAGAAAGAGGAACATTGAACAAGATTTCCCTACAAGGACCACCTCGGCCCGAAGAATACCAAACAAGACACACACCAAGCAACACTAAACACTACAGACTACTAACTAAAAATCACAGAAGCAAAGATCACTTTTAAATCTAAAATGTCCTCAACTAACACACAAAGAGAAGAATCAACTAAAGCTCCTGCATTGAATGACCTTGCCAAGTTTTTATCTTCGAGATATACCATCACATCCTGCCACCCTTTATCAGCCCCTAAAATCAGCCACTCTCACGGATCCAGAAGCACCTTCTACATTGAGGATTTCAACGCTCCATTGTTGGCAGCAACCCACCTGTTGACCTGCACTCCACCAGCAAACGCTAAGCCCCTCAACTTCTCAAGTCCTGGAATGGTCACAGTAGCACTGGTTGCATTCAACGGCATCCCTACTCCCTGTTCATTATCAGGCTCCAACCCATGTACATTAGTGAACAACCCCTGAGCCTTCCTTTCATCAATACTATTAATACCCTCAAATTTTTAATACCCTCAAATTTCAGCCACTCTGCTCTTGCCTTCTCTACCAACTGAATTTCAGACATATTTTCTTTCTCAAATATCCAACCATTTCTTGTCCTCCACACTCATTATCCATTTTGTTCCAGTGAATCCCAGCAACCTTTCAGACAGTTTTATCCCTTTCACACAGAAACAATAAGTGCACTAAACTTTCTACCTCCTTACCGCACCAAAAACAAATCATATCCTTCACCACTCCTTTCACCTACAACCTCAACTTTGTGCTAATCCAGTTGTGCTACCACCTCCAGATAAAGTTTTTTTATTTTCTGTTTGATTGGTAAGCACTAGATAGTCTTCTACACTTTCTGCAATCTTCTTCCTCCCTTCCCCGGCTTGATTTAATTCCTCCTGCCACTACACTTCTATAGTGTTGTATGGTTGAATAAGCACCTTTCATAGTGAACAATATTTTCTTATCAGGGTGCCAGACCATCTTGTCTTTACAACCCCTGTGACTGATGTGGATCTTCATTATATTGGTTGTATAGTGTGGCAAAAATGTTTGTAGGATAAATAATTTTTGTGAACCTGTACTATACGCGTTTTGGCTTTCAGAACCTAATGTTTTTTTTTTTTCCGATTTGCAACCTTTAATACACGGTTTGTCTATATCGCAACCTCCGGTCAATGGAGACCCATTTTCCACTGGAAAAGCGAGCGTGCGAGTCACACCAGGGTAGTTAGGCATGCCTAGGAGCACATCTTGTAGACGCTGGGTGAGGGATATGTTGGCTTTTAAGACGAGTGGTTGTTTGGTGAGGGGCCTTTTTTTTAGCACTAGGCATGTCACTCACTCTCTTTCTCTACGGGTGAAAGACCTGTGGTCTGATGGGGCTTTAGATAGGGATAGGTTGGGGAGGGTGTTAGGCACTTAAGCGAGTTTTAGTGACCAAGTTTTACATCTTCAGGTGCCTTTTCTACGACCTCGACTAGGGGGGAAGTTCAGCTGGGTGACCGGCCTAACCTTCTCTTCAGGGCCACTTGGAATGACCTACTTTCCCCGACCAGCTTTGTCTTCTTTTAGCCTTCTTCTGCATCGAATCCCGATCGACGTTGTGATGCAGGCGAGGGGGTTTTTCTTTCCTACACGGTGTTACTGTTGTGCCGAGACCGGACATTTCTAGACTGAGACTTTTTCCCCATTTTTTTAGAGAGCGAAGTTGCGAGGAGAGTGTGGGAGCATTTTGCTGCTATATACTCATATACCATTCCCACTATAGATAATTTTTTTGAGCTCCTGAGTTTTTTCTCACAACGCACACACTTTAGTCACGTGGGCTTCCTCATTCCTTGTTTGATCACGTGGTTCATCTGGACAGAAAAGAATAGTGTGAAGCATAGATATATTACTTTTATGTGCTGTCACATTCTTTTGCAGGTTGATCGACATCTCTCCCTCCTCACAGCTCTGGGCAGACTCACACCTAGAGTCTGGACGGGCTGCACTCTGTCCCACCGCTTCGTAACATCTCTGTTGCCGCCTATCTAGCACCCACGCCCCAGAGTCTTCTCTGTCTAAGACCCGATTCCCCTTGCGTTATGCTAAATACTGACTGATCTTTCGCCCAACTTACCGGAGCTGCCGGAGGTGAGGGCCTGATTAGGGATCACAACGGAGCTCTCATTAGCGCCTTCCACGCCCCTCTTTAGGCCTCCTTGAGTTACGACGCGGAGGTTCAGGCACTTTAGATCGGTCTTCAGATTGCAGCCTCTATCTCTTCTCGCATTTGGATAGAGCATGACGCTGCCGCTGTCGCTACCCTCTTGACCTCAGGCCACTGGGGCTCGTGGAAGATTCAGTACCCGCTCATGCCCATCAAATCCACACTTCGGTCGGTTCGCTACTGGATCTCGCACAACTTCTGCTAGGGGAACCGACCCGCTAACTTCCTTGCTTGCATTGGTGCCTCCACTCTCCAGGGCCGTATTTTTTATCTGGACGACGCTCCTCTCTGCCTATACTCTTGTGCGGATGGACCAGATTGACTACCCATCGTTCATATTTGGGTAGTCGTTTTGTATATGCTTTAGCCCACTAGTGATGCAGACTTTTCGTTTGATGTTTGGACATATAGGCTTGAGACTTTTCAACCCAATTAGGTCTTGACTATATACAGGTTTGGGGTCCGGCCTTAATCCCTTAACCTTCCGGAGTGTTTCTTCTTAAAAAAAATATCAATGTCTCTATAATAGACAAATTTGTATTACCATAACTGATATTCTCAAACATTTATACGATAATTAAAATTAGCAACGTTTGACATTAATTGTCCACCTATAAAACCTCAACTAAAAGCGGAATATGTTGTTCCCCTAAGTGCAGTCCAATCTTAAGAGCTACTTTAATCCTCTCCATTTAGTCGAGCTACATGGTGGCTTGACCAATTCAAGGTGAAAAAAAGGGCTGCTCCCTCAGCAGAATTTGGATAAACTTGGGCCAAAAGATCGCAGATCAAGATAGGCGGGAAAATTTTTTTTGGTTATATTTAGTATATAATTAATATTGACTTTTTAGCAAAATTAGTAAATAAAAAGTATTTATTTTTATTTAATGAATGGTTAATAATTCTTAGTTAAAATTTACTTCAAATAGAATTATTGATTGACAGAATAGGTTTTCTAATAAAATATTATATTAATTCTAAAGTAGTTTGTTAACCCAATTAAATAAATTTAGTTATTATACTTAGTGTCGATAATTTAATTAATTTCATTATTAATTTATGGTTATAACTTATTAACCTGCGATGAAAAAGAAAACCCTAAACCCCAAATTGCCGATCCGCCTCATTTAATTCCACCGGTCGAATCTCCCTCGTGGGTCGTCCGAGTCCGTCGGTGGATGGCCTCCGTCGCTCGTCCATGGTGGTGCAGCCCTCGTCTCATCTGCTGCAGCTTCGTCCTGTTTCGAGGGTCGGCCAACGGAGATGCTTCTCCTCCCTTTTTGGTCGCCAGAGTCCAGGATCAAGCGGCGATGGTCGGGGTGCGGTGCTGGTTCATGGACGAGGCTGGGTTAGCTGCAATCGACTTGGACTGGGGCGCTGCTTAATCATCATGCTTGACCTTCTCGCCGCCGGTCAGGACCATGCCTTTTCGCCGGCGAAGCGGCGATTGGAAGAGGCCTCTTTCAGTTCGACTCATGGCTGTGTCAATTGGAGGTTAGCCCTCGATATTGCTGCTTTTATCTCAGTTTTCTATTTTGTCTGTGATCGGAGGGACCTACGGGTTCCTTCTCAGCGAGATGGATATGGGGGTTCGCGGTTGGGGGTTGTAGCTACTGCTGGGGTCAGGGTGCTGCTTCCGGTTAGTGCTCGTCTACCTGGTTGTATTTCGCCGATTCGAGCGGGGTTGAGTGGTTGTTGTTTCAGGCGGGCTGACTCGGTGAAGCCGAGCCGTGTTTGCTTCTTCATGTGATTGGAGTGCGGGCCAGCTCTTCGGTTGGTCCAAGGTACCCGTCTTATTAGGCCTTATGCAGTGGCGGACGATTGTTTCCGTGCTCTGGAGCTTTCTTTTGGAGTTGGTTTGTCTGCCATCAATCTAGATGTATCTGGTGGGGGAGGCTGTGACCTCCTGTATCTTTTTGTTTTAGTTTTGGTTGGTTTGTGTTTATTTTATTAGTGTTATTTAGGATTGTGTTTTTGGTTTGGGCCGTTGGCCTCTGTGAACCCGTGTGAACCCGAGTGTCACCTTATTATCATGTTGGGATCCGACACTCGGGTATTACTCTGTTGGGGTCTTTGTTAGTTGTGTTACTTTTTGTTAGTTGTTAGTGTAGTTGCGAGTTTGTCATTCTACCGTTGCTAGACGATTCTAGGCGATCTTCGGATCTGCCTCCCAGTTTTATAGTCTCTGTTTGTACTATTCAGCCTTTGGCTGCTTTCTTTTCGCACTTTGTGTGGTTTTATTAATATAGTAACTCTATCGTTTCGGGGGAAAAAAAATCTATGGTTATAAAAAATAATTTTAAGATTTATGGTACCTGATAAAAAATACTTAAATATAAAAGCAATAATTAAAATAATTAGCTATAGATTATTTTCATTAAATGAATAATTTTAAATGTTAATTAAAATTTGATAAAATTTGATATGGGTCAGCTCTATAATGTTTTGTTTAACATAACAATTAATTTTTTCACTGCTTATATCCTTTGCATTGATAATGATATTGATTAATTTCAATAATATTTTAATATAATTATTATTTTGATACTTGTGTGAAATCAACAATTATACATTCCACATTAAAGTATCTTTATAATTAAAATCCCATAGTAAAAAATATTCATTTTATGCAAAAAATTATAGTTATTCAATAAGAATGAGTAAATTATCAAGTACCATAACTGAAAGTTATAGCATTTGATAACTATTGGCCAATATATTATATATCAATATTTATATTCTATATCAATAACTCATTACATATGTTAAAAAAATGAATTAAAGAAATATATATAAATTAAAACTAGAAATTAAAATAAACATTTTCATGAAAAATATGTGTTGTGTAAGTGACTAAATTTAAAAATCATAATTTAATTAACAACTGGATAATATTTCAAGCATTTAAAATTATTATAAAAGAAGATATATTTGATGGGTTAAACTCTGGTCAATTATCAAGCAATATGCAAATTATGAACTTTTAGAAGAATATAAGACAGATAACTTAAGGTCATTTTATATTATTTTATGGTTATATATAACAAAATTCGTATACTAGACCGTCAAGTACAGACCCCAAAAAAAATATATATTTAGTCAAAAATTATATCATTGCTAATGTATATAGTACATTGAATGGACTAGACATATTATTTCAAATATATTAATAATATTTGAATAAAAAATATTTTTATACATATTTCGTGCTTCACACACATGTATCAATGCTAAGAATAAAAAAGAATAAATGAGAGACAAGAACATGGTTATTTTCACTAGAATAAAAGGCAAATAAGATACTCAATTGCTATTCACCCACCCCTTTTACTAGTCACCCCCCATTTACTCTTTTGTCTTTAACCCTTTTTCAGACTCTATCTCTCTAAACTTTATATCTCTCTAAATTTTCCGAACTTTCAACGAGCGATTCGAGCAACGAAAAAAATCCAAAAAAATGTCGAAAAAATCCTACGGCATCGGCAAAGGACTCTTCTCTAACAAGGTAATTTTTTTTTTTTTACGCTGGCTCGATTTTTTAAATTTATTTTTTGAATCTGACCGGTCGTCCGGCCGTCGTTTCCGGACGGTCGCCGTCCGTCCGGTCGTCGGTTTCGGACGGCCGAAAAACCGTCCGGTCGGCCCTAAAATTGTCCGGTTCCGGACGGTCGAAAAGCCGTCCGGAACCGCCGGCTGGTCACGAGCCGGCCGGACAGTTTTTAATTTTTTTTTTAATAATTATAATAATAATTATAATTATAAATAATTATAATTAAAATAATAATAATAAT